TTTTTATAAAAAAAAATTTTTTTTTTTTTTTTTTACCCTTTTTTTTGTTGGGCCTTTTTTTTTTTTTTTTTTTTTTTTACTTTCAGACATTTTTAAGCTTTTTATTGTCCAATAACCTGTTGATACAGGGATACAAATTCATAGCAGGTTGTTAGTCCCACAAAGTCCTTTTTTCTTCATGGCTGTGACAAGAAAAAGACATCTTTTTTTTTTTTTTACACTGGCAAAACTCACATCATACATTAGAGTCTAAAACTCAATTGAAGCAGACATGTTTCTCTAGTTACAAGGACAACACAATGGCTATTGTATATTCCTATAGACCTACTTGATGTATTTTATATCAGGATATTATTTGAGACAAAACAAAACACTTTCAACATTTATTGCAAACAAATACCTACAAAAATATGCCATGCGTTTGTTTCAATCACCCACGATTTGATGGAATCATCTGTTGCTGCACTTACAGCAATGAGCATTATAGAGTAGTTTTTCTGAACGCCGCCTTCAGGGCTCACTGTCCTGCTTTGTTTGAAGTGTTTTCTTGCTGCCGCATACCTAACTAAAAATGTAAACAGGCTTCTTTGTGATGGAGAAGAACTCACCCAGGTGTAACAGTTTTCAAGCTTTTGCAAAGATTATTAGCGAAACTTATATCCTTGTAGAATTTGTAGAAACAAACTTTGTTGAGCTTTCTCGCACAATGACAATAAAAGAAATTCTGATTCTGATTGTCACATGTCTTTTTCAGGCTTTTCTTTCAGTGCTGCTCAAGAAAAGCACCTCAACAGCATGATGCTGCCACTACTGTTCTCCACGGCGGGGTTGGTGGCCTTGAGGTGGTGTGAAGTGTTGGATTTACCAACGGCGATATAAAAGAAGAAATTTGTGGGACGCGCTGCTGCAACTAGAGACCTCGTCATTAAATGGTTTCAATCGTTCAAATTAGAAATGAATAAAACAAAGCAAACAATTTGAGGAACACAAACCTAGAGCACTGTGTATTGCTTGAAGGGAGCTGCGTGCAAACTGAGCCTTACAAGGAGTAAAGAAGTTCCGACTTCGCTGAGTCGGAGGCTGCTGCACATGCTCACCTCTCCTGATGTCCCAGGTCCTGCAGGAGTGTGTCAGCATATTTCTGCCTCTCGTTGCTCTCCACGTTGGAAAGCCTCTTCACCTCGCTCCGCACAAAGTACCAGAACTCCTTGACGCCGTTCTCCACCTTCCTGCGCAGCTCCTCCTGCGTGGGGCCGGGCCCTGCGGGGGAGAACAGGGAGGAGAGGACGGCGGGGTTTTATAACGCTTTGAAGCGGCTGGCGCGATCAAAGACAACCGATCAATAACGCAGACCGAAGAAACGAAATACGCTCTCAAAAGACTCTGATTATAGTGATATAGTAAATAGCCCCTCGCCAGTGGATGTGCCGACGGGAACTCTGACCCCAGGTGTTAGTTTGGCCTCGTTAGGAAACACTTGATCACTGCTTTTGTGCACAATCTCTCTCATGTTTTTCCACACACAGGAAATGTATACCCCTTTTTGAACCCAGACAATGTGGAGCAGCCAACATGGGCAGGCACTGCATGTGCCTGCCCTGGTTTCTGTCGAGAGAAACAGAATGGAAAAGAACAGAGCAAAGAGAAGAACAGCCTCAAGCAGGAGAAGTCGGAGGTGGTGCTGGAGATGGTAAAGCTCTCTTTTTTTTTTTTTTTTCCCCCAACCTTCTATCTCAGACACTCTCCTCACTTTACCCGCTCCGCTTGTGGAAAAAGCTGGAGGGTATTTTTAGCTTTTTCTCCCCCTGCAGCATGATGGAAAAACTGACCCTCCACTGCCCTCTACGCTCACATGTCCTTTTTTATTTTCTCCCCGTCTCTTTTCTTCCCTCTCGGTCTCTTATTTTGCCAGCGGGGGGATTCGCACTGCTCCCACTTCATTCACACGTTTCCCCCCCCGCTCACCTGACAGCTTTCCTGCCCCTTTGACCACTGCTTAGAGTAGAGAGTGCACACATATACACACACACACACACACACACACACACACACATAACCCGGCCCCCATTGACGCCGCGGCTCCACCGTCGTCATCGTCGTCGTCAGGCTGCAGCGGGTTGAACACTGGCCTGAACTGACATCGTCCCTGCAGGCGAAAGCTCACACAAGCAGCTGAGAGGTTTCACACCACGTCTAGATTTATATCGTGAGCCCACACACACTTACAATTCGCTCAATATGCTCCAAGTTTGTCCCAAACCCCCGACTTTGGGTGAGACTATTTTAAGATTCATTGTTCTGCACATTTCTGGACTTCCTCTTGCATTTATACTTTTGAAGGTATAAATGCAAGACTTCAGAATGAATTTAAGGTAGATATTACTGGAAATGGAACCAGCAAACACTGCAGACAAATGAGTGGGTTGGTGATGTAGAGCAAGGTGGGATGAATGGTTGAATGCAGAGTGGAGACAGAGACTGACAGATGGGAATGTGAGAGTACAAGAAAAGGATTGAAGTCTAGAATAAATACTTTTTTTTCTTTATATCCAAACTTGGAAAATGCTGACACAAATTTCCAGGGTTTTCCAGACTACGAAACACCTTCTTACTTACCATCTCCAGTGAGTTTCTGGAAGCTGTGAATCTTCTGCTTGGCTCTGGTCAGCTGGTCCTCCAGGGAGCGGAGCCGTCCTGCCGCCAGCGACCCGGCTTCTGCTTGACCCTCTGGTATCCTGGAAGGCCCAGAAAGACGTCGGGTGTATTAGGAGATTAAAAGCAGGAAGAGGAGGCAGGAACATGTCAAAAAACCCCGAACGCAATAGTCCAATGCACTGACGGAATAACAAAATAATATTTTTAGGAATGCTCAGTTATTCTCTGAATAACTCTAGATGGATTCCGCAAGGCATCCACTTGCAGACTATTTTAGTCAAAAAACTTTCTTTCTAATTGTCAGTTGTGACTCAGGAGGTAGGCGAAGCGGTAAGGATATCCTGTGGTTTCGTCTGATTCGAGACGTCTCTTGCTTGGGTGACTCTGGTCTCATCTTTCAATTTAAAAGTTGCTGAGAAAACCGAGCTGCGGAGGCTTGCGTCTCACAATGTTCACCGCCGAAACTTCCACAAAATGTAATTTGTTAAAGCGCCAGTGTAGACCCCCGAAAGTTGTGGCCCCGTGTGTTAATTTTGAGCCCAAGATTGGGTTCAGAATACAAACCGGATGAATCCACGTTTGTTGGGTTCGACCCATCATCTGCTCCCAAACTCATCCATGAATTACGTCCTGAGAATCTGCTGAATATCCTGTGAACGGAATGGCAATTTGCAGAAAAATGCTACGATTATGTGGAATAATAGGAAAAATATAAACCCAATTATAAACCCAGAGTGTTATTCAGCTGCGACACGACGACGCACCTGATGAGCTCATGAAGTTAAAATTACAATAACAACTATTTCAACTTTTTCTTACTTCAGTTTTACAAGAGTGATGGCTAAATTGAACAAATCTAACGTACTGCGGGGGAAAATAAGTGTTTGATCTGCAGATTTTTATTATATTTTTATGCCTGCTCATGCACAAATTGACAGGTTCAATTTTTTATGATGGCTACATTTTGATAAGTCTGTATTTTATGATGTTTGCAAAAAATCTGAAAAGCATCACTCAAAACTTAGAAATTAATTTGCGAGTCGTTGACATTAACGCGTAGTTAATCCCAAACACAGAAGCCAGAAAACTAGCAGCGCTCCCGTTTTGCAGACAGAAACCGACCAACCAACGGAGCCAGACACGAACTGACAACCAAGAAAACAATCAGCCACACAAGCAACTAACCCTGCAGAACCAAAACCCACGTTATAATCTGAAACATCAAACAATAAATCAACAAATCAGGATCAGGAATCTTGGTGGAAATGTGGCACTTGTTGGTGGGAATATTGGGAAACTATAAGATGATTAGTTGCTCCCAGTCTGGAGTTTACTTTACCTAACACATGTGATTATCAGAAACAATTCATGTCTGAATGCACTTCAAAATAATGAGCCAGTGGCGAATATTGTTTAATCTATTTGTGAAACAAGTCAAAAATACAGAAACAAAGTTTTTGATTGGATCAAAAATGATTGCAAATCCAAATCTGCCAGGAGTATGACAAATTATTTTCCAACTTAAGCTCATTTCACCAGCGTTTTTCTTTGTCCATGCTGTTATTCCCATCATAACGAAGTTTGCAGGAATCGTCCTGAAGATAAAACTTAAGTGAGGCTGGGACAGGATACGTTGTCGCTGAACCATTCAGATGCATGTCTAAAACTCTAAAGTCTGAACACAAACAGGGAAGCTTCCAAATGAGATTAATTTCATCCAACATCTTTGCAACACAGAGAAAAGATGCCCTGGAATAATGTGAAAAGCTAAAAGTGACGCATGAAATGTTCACATTCTAAGCCTCAGTCGATGCAAGAGTGCCACGGCATTCCAGCTGGTCTTTTATCATCTCCATAGTGCTAAAACAAATAGGAAAACTACTTTTATCACAGATGCCGCATAAAATCACTGCTCCAAGCCCATGAGTGTGATGAGTGGGATCATCTCAGGCTCTTCCACATCATAGACATCTGTGATAAAAAAAAAGAAAGAAAGAAAGAAAGAAAGAAAGAAAAAAAAAACGTACCGCAGTCATCAAATTCACAAGTGCAGAAAGCTGTTTTTCATTACCGCTGAAAGCTTGTTTGGACAGACGTTCAGTTCAATTAGCCTAATGTACAGTAATAAACTATTTTCATTTGCATATATCTAACTGTATCTGCGGAACTGTTGCATATTTTAAGTGTTTAGTGAATTATCTCTGGTTGATAAATGCAAATTTGAATCTGCATTTTCCAACTCCCTCAGTTAACCGTGAATAATTACACCCCCCACACCCCCCCACACACACAAACACCAAAAACACAACTGAGCACTTTGACATCCTTAGAGCACCAAGTTTATATCTAAGGATGTAAACTTCCCCTTCAGTCAAGGGGAAGAAAAACGGCACTAACATGGTAGAAAATCCGCAGTTTTTTTTTTTTCTTTATTCTCCAGCATTGTATTTGCAAACACCCCTGAGCAATAGACATAATAAATCATCAAGGCATGCAAACTCAATTTGCTCCTTCAGTAAAGAACATCAGTCGCCTGCAGGCACAGAGATGAGACTTTTGGAGTTGCAACGGCCCCTCTCGCCACAAAACACTCCCTTCAATGTGCGAGTCTGGTCCCTCGGAAGCCCTTGCCTCCCACTTCACTGACTACTAACTGAGCAATCTACTTCAAGGGCATCCACAGCTGTAGGAAAAAGAGAGCAGAATATTCTACTCAGACGTTATGCAAACCAGCGATGGTCAATGATCAACCTTTCATACTTTCCAAGAACAGAGTTTGCCCTTATTGGATTCAGATTTCCTGTCATTATTAGATCCACGGTGTGTCCGTTACAAGACCCCGAGACGGATCGTTGAAATAAAACCCGGTGACACTTCCTCTCCTCTATTATCTTTTGTACCATACTCAGCTGGGCTTCCCCATAGGCCACACCTTAACATGCTGTTACACCTCAGTACAAAAAGGAAGACTTGCTTCATCACTTCCCAGGGGTTTTAAGGGCTGCTAAAACGGCGACATAAAACAACCTGATCTCTTCTTGAACAAGGCAGAAGAAATAGGCCATAGGAGCACAGGCTAATTAGTGCGAACATCATATATGAGGGTTATCTAGAATACAAATTGCCAGTGCGCTTGTCACAACCCAAGTCATGGAAAACGCACCCAGAACAAGATCTGTCAATATAAAATATATCTAAATACTGAGCTGAATCAAAACTAACAGAATATGCCAGAAAAGGCAAACAGAGAACAACAACAACACACAAAAAAAAAAGACTACTGAAACCTGAAGAAGAAATTAGACAATCCAGCTGGATTCGACAACATCTAAATAAAACAACACACGAAAGGTAAGAGATGAAAAGAAAACTCAGAGTTAGGAGAAGCAGCAGGCAAATACGTGGAGGGATGCGGGGGCATAAAAGACGAGCTCTGAAAGCAGGGGGGAGGACGAGGCCTGCTGCCTCTAAGCGCTGCATCGGGAAGCATGTAAGGTTCAAATATTTTACTTGAGCTCAGCTGGTGAAACCACTGGCTCCCTCTTCTACACCCAGTGTTCACAGAGTTCACAAGGCGCTCAGAGCCGAGGGACCGAGTTTGAACAGTGGGGGCCCCGAGTGGCAAAACTGCACCTATATTCCTGTGGAAAGACTTAATACGCTCAGACTGACTTCAAAAGGAAACGTATGTGCTGACCTGAAAAGTCATCCATATGGATGGAGATGTGAAGCATTCTCTGAGGTCTAGATGAAAGAAGGCTACATGGACACCCTATGGCTTCGTACAAAGAACCAACTAGCCTGTGTTTAAACGGGCATACCCATGCATGATCACATTGTGATGCACTTTGCATCACAATGTGATGCTTAGAGTTCTCACAGGTTCCTCTGATTTACCCACAAACCAATCTTTAGGTGTCATTTGGTGGCGTGCGCGTCTCCACATCCTGCATAGTGCTGTATTTCAGATTCTCTTGATCTCCCAGAACTGGCTAATGTGCAATTACAAGGCCTACACTTCTGTATTTAAAAAGGCATGTCCTTAAATCATTTAATTCTGATGCACTTTGCATTTAAGCGGCTCTTTTAAGCAAACGTTTTCTTAGGCTCCTTGCAACTGGTTTATGCACAATTTGGAGGAGTGTTCTTCCCTATATCTGTGACTCTCTTTTCAGGGGAAAAAAAAAAATCATTGCATATTCAGTTCTTTGTGCAAGGTGTGGGAATAATGGAGAACAAAAATTATGGATTGTTCATTTTTAGCTGCATGTAAGTATATGTTTGTAGCTGCCAGTGCAGTGCTGAGACACAGTATGAAAGCAGCTGCATAGTCAACAGTGGTTAGATAAAATATTCAGAAAGCAGCCAGTCTGGTGTGTGTGTGTGTGTGTGTGTGTGTGTGTGACGAGGTTGCAGCCTTAGCACCCAGCCAGCATCGCTATTTCTCTATATAAATTTCCTGATAACCAATTCATACCTTCGTATTCAGGCTACACGTCATGCCTGAGCTAACACTGCTGCTAGCATAGTCCTCCACTGACATCCAGCCACCATGAAGAATTAAATCCGACTCAATCCTAAATTCATGTTTAAAACAAGAAAAAAAAAAACAAAAAAAACTTTATTACACAAAACCAGAGAGTCCCGTTTTTTGATGCACCCCAAAACTTCTCTGTAATACTTTGAAAGAAAGTGGGCTTAGCTCCGTGTGAAGGGGGCCTTAGAAAACTGTGTGTTTCATCATTTCTTGATAACTGAGTGCCTTTGCTTGTACCTCAACTCACACCACTTGATTCCAATAAGTCAAATGGGTGGAAAACATCTTGTTTCCCTATGAAAACTGAAATTGGTTTTGAAGCCTTAAAGAATCGTTCAGACAGCGGCTTTGTTCCACTTCACTACGCCATCATATGTCAAATCAATTTCAGTTCTTCCTTGCTTTCATGTCTGCGGATTCAAACGTCAACATTCCAAGTAAACCGATTCTGTATACCGCATTCCTGCCTCACATGTCCGCGAAGTCTTTAGCTCGCCAGCTCTGCTCTGAGCTCTGCTCGACAGAGACGTCCTGACCACAGAC